CTTATCATGCCGCTTATTTATCAAATCCCGGACCCTCTCTAACTTCTGGTCCGTCATACTCTGGAGTTTTTTAAAATCATCCGGAGCGAGAACCTTGTCCAGATCCTTGCATAATCCAGACTTTATATTTCTGAACTTAAATAGCTTGCGCCTCTCAGTCTAGTAACTTTGCTCTAATTTCTGGATAAAGTTGTGATAAAGTATTTCATTAACTGTGTCCGAATGACACTTTCTCATTAGGTTGCAGAACTCGGGAGCGAAACCATACTGTTTGCAACAATTCAAAAAGGTCAAATGACAGAATTGCCTCCAAAATCAATGGGTGGCTACTGATGAATTGAAATAACTTATTTGTAACAGTATGTGACAAAGAGCGTCCAATCAACAATACAAATCCAAGATATGAAGACAAGGATGGTGTGGCCTTTTGTATGGTCGCGGTCTCGTCTCGTTGCATAAAAGTTGTTTGGCCTTGTTTTCGCAACTTTGTTATATCAGCAGGAAGACCTAAAGCAACGCCCCTTGCCCGGAATGCATAGTATGCATGATAATTTCCAGTCGGACAGGGGACTTGGTACATTCCCAGACGTTTTACCGACATCGTAGTCGACATCATCAATGAGCCTTGCTAGTCTTAGCACCACACTACAACTCGTCAAAGAGACAAGTGAAGTCGATCCTTCGACCAATTGTATGCTAACCAGTTGTGGTATCTCTCCTCCTATCCCGGGCTATGTACATAACCTATATCCTCGGAAGAAATTGTAATATTAAAGGGGTGATACGAGGATATTGGTTAGGCGAATATCCCAGGAGAGGAGAAAATTGGTCAAAGGATGGACTTCGCTTATCTCTTTGATGAGTTGTATTGTGGTGCTAAGACTGGCAAGGCTCACTGACGATGCAGGAAAAACGACTGGGAATATATTAAGTCGCCTGTCTGACTCTGGAAATTATCATGCATGCTATGGAATCCAGACAAGGTGCGTTCCTCTAAGTCTTCCTGCTATGACCAAGTTGCGAAAACAAGGCCAAACAACTTAGTGCGAATCCAGCTGGCAGCAACAAACTGGGCAGCAAATTAGATCATTTATATTCTCATTTACTTCAGGATAGTCAAAAAGGAAGTGTAGTGGAGCTTCTCGTATATAAAATTGATTGCTATGAGCTTTATTCACAGACATACAATCCGAATCTAATGAACTTGTGCTAAACTGTCGAAGTTTATAGGGCAGTAATAGTTGAGACGGGAGACCAGTATTAAAACATTTTCCTTCTAAATTATCTATAGCAAATAAATGCAATGAGTAGAGTGGGAAACAAGTTAGTATGGGATTTAGAAAAATTAAATAAAGAATTTATAAAAAGTATTATAAAAAAGTGAAACTCCAATTTATTCTCACCTATGCAAAGAGCTTAATAATGAAAAAAATCAAAGGGGCAGACCACGTAAAATTGAAAGTAGAGACATCTGTTCAACAACCTAGCTATCATATATAAGAGGAGGATATTGAGCTTAAATTAAAACTCTAAGCGAAGGAATGTGCAGTAAGTAATAACTCATCAGAGATAACTGAAGTCTATCCATTGAAATACTTCCGACCGAGCATTTATGAAAAACCTTCTCTTGTCCCAATAAGCCTACCTAGTTCTTATCCTCGTATCCAAAACTTTCCAGCCAAATGGAGATGAGGGAAGAGAAAACCAGCAGGGAATGATTAAGCCTTATGAAATCAATAGAAAACCTCTAGAGGTTAGAATAAACAAGCCACGAGTTGTGATAGTGAAGGGGTTAGAGACGAAGATATAGGATAGATGAATGCATCAGAGGAGAGATACCAAAAATGGAGAAGTTATAGCCTGCTGCTAAGACTGACGAGACCCACTGATGCTGCCGACTACGATGCCGGCAAAACGTCTAGGAATATGCCAAATCCACAGTCAAACGCTGGAAATTATAATCTATTAAAGCAGATGACCTCGGAAGAAGAGCATGTATCTAGGTTTCCATGAGAACACGATCAGGTGCAAAAATGAGTAAAAAAAGGTCTGCCTAAGGGCAACTCGCTTTGAATATAGGGTCAGGTCGGCCTTAGACGGCCAGAAAAGAAACCATAAAAGGAAAGGAAACTAGAGATGTTCCCTGACATTTTTGATGCACAGTTGGACACCATGACTTGTCTAAGGAAAAACGAAGCAACTGGGGATAAAACAGAGGTGTATCCGCACTTGGAAGATTTGGATATCAAAGTAAATGTAACTAAAGCTATTTTAACCGCCTCCCTGAACATAGAAAGTCATGAATATTATTAAATGAGATACAACATTGGCAACAATGCAAATCTTATTCATTTAGTGACCTGAAATATACATAAAGATCAATAGATAAACTAAAAAATGTTCTAAAACTAATGATTCATAAACACATAAGGCTTTTGAAACGTCTGTTACGTTGTAAAAATAGACAGAATAAACATATCAAGTCAACACAAATTGAGGATTTTTCAACCCTTGACTTTGTTATATGAATCCCTTAAGTCAAGAGGAATAGTGTGGTTCTACCTTGTTTTCTCAACTTGGTCGGATATTCAGGGAGACCTTGTGGAACGTACATAATCCAGTGTCCTCTGTCAAAGTATTCGTAATTTCCAGCATTGGACCATTGGCTGGGAACATCCAAAAACGTTTCACCGGCAGATGATGCCCATGCTCATTCACATGCCCATGCTTGGGAATCTTCCTCACCCTCTTCAAACCCATGGCTCGATTATCCTCTCCCTCATTCCCACCCACACTTTATCTCATTCTTTGGGGCCCTGTTTCCGGCTTAACTCATAACCACTGGTGTGAGAATGCACCGCTTCCCCTTTATCCCTCAAATAGCGAAAAGCACACTTATCGTCGCTCTAGTTGACATTCCCATCTAAGCCTAGGGTACTGAGATGATGTTCATGTGTGTGCGTGTGGGCTGGTATCCCCCGTAGTCAAGTCTGTAACCAGTCACCTCACCTTCAGACACAGATACGAAAAGTACACACAACACCTACGCACACACTGGTGACTTCTATATAGCCCACCAATCCCCATACCTTCGCAGGAGAGTAGATATATTCATCATTTTTATCTGCTCCTCTTGCCTTCCTTTCATAATCTCCGTTCTTCCATTTGTTCATCAGCATCCAAATGTTGGGTTGTATTGCTTCTCCTGGATATCCGTGTCCAAGACACATCTGAGTTAGTTTTCCCAGTTCCTCGTAAGCTTCTTTTGACCATACTTCGCAGTATTCCAATCTCCATTCCATAAGTATGGTTCGACTGGAAGTTAAGAGTTATTCCAGCGTGCGATTCTCTTCGGAAAAGTTTTTTCTTGAAAGTTTCTTCAGAGCGAATGACCTCCACGCCAAAGAACGGTAAGTGTCCGTTCTTTCCTACATCCATGGAAAATTTGACTTTTTCAATCATTTCGTTTATGAAGATCAGGGAATCGCCAAACTTTTCTCTTCCATACCACCAAATTGCGAAGTAGTCATCAAACTATCGCATAATTACTGTTGGCTGCTGGGTTGACATTTTGAAATTCTCCCCTAACTTGTCCACGAAGACATTAGCCAACAGAGATGAGAACGGTGAGCTCATAGGTAGACGAAATATTTGCTCATAGATGCGGCCATTGAATGTGAAATAGGTTGTTCTTATTGTTAGGTTGATTAATCGGGTTGGATACTCTTTACACATTCGCTCTGTCTCCAGAATGTCATTTTCCTTCTCCAAGATCTCCAGTAGTGCGGTGGGTATTTTTCTTCTGTGATGCTAGTGAACATGGACTCTAGATTAAAGCTCACCAAAATTTAGTTTCCTTCCAACCTTGCGCATTTGATTCTTTGGCAAAATTCGTATGAGTTTTTCACAGAATTAGATAATCTGTCATTCACTTTCTTTACTTTGGTAGATAAATTTAGCCAATTTGTGTATCGGTCCATGTTTATTGTTAATTATTAGTCTCAATGGTTCTCATTTTTTGTGTACCTTCGACAAACCGTATGCTACTGGGGCTCTTGCATGCTTTCATATGAGTGAGTTCATTGTCCATTTGTTGATTTCCCCGTTCCTATTCATTTCCTATATATACATAAAATTATATATCTGTGCAAATGCCAAATAGTAATAAGGGAATCTGCGGCGTCAAGTTAATTTTCCATCCAGTTTGAGAATACAGACTGAGAGCCTGCTAAGTGAGGCTGGAGCATACTTGTTATCAAAGGCAATGACGTTTCAAGTAGCACCGATGTGGTGGTGGGGGTGGTGCTCGAGTTAAAGCACTGAACCGGGACGATAGGAGCTGCATCATACGGGGCAAGAGGAAGAGTCTGACAGGAACTGGAGGAAGAGGATTACGGACTAAAAGGACAAGTATAGATCAACACTTCCAACGCAGTGGTGATAAGGGAACCGGCGGGGAGTATGAATAAGCCCCATTAAATCAGCTCAAGAGGGCGCATTTGAGCTGAGTTTAAATAGGCGATTGAGAAATTGTGAACAGAAAGGGGTGATACGAGAATATATGGAAAATGAATGGACCAGGATAGAAAAAGAGATTCCAAAACAGCTAGGCAGACAATTGATCGAAGAATCGACTTCAATTGCCTCTTTGACAAGTTGTATTATGGTGTTAATAATGACAAAGCTCACTGACGATGCCGGCCAAACGTTTGGGATTGTACCAGGTCAACGATCCGACGTTGGAAATTATCATGGATGCTATGGACTCCGGTCAAGGTGCGCTCCACCAGATCGCCTTGACAATAAGAATAAGTTGCGAAAACAAAATAAAAAAACTTCCATACAACTAAAGAAGACCGCAACATACTAAACATCATGCTATCTTTGTCTTCATACCTTCAACTATAATTTATAGGCTGCATTATTTTTAATTCAAGAACTAAGCCTCAATTGATCGATTCTAATGAATAATCGACCTTGCCCATACAAAAAAAGATGTATCAGCAATTGTGGTGGCTGGCTCCAAGTAAAAAACAAACCATTTTAGTTTCTTCAGGAGAGCCGTCAGCGCTTAGCTCCATCGAAGGTGAGTCGTCCCCGATCGCTGTTACCACCACTTTTGGCGGATTCAATTCGACGCAGGTTTGTTGACGAAGAGCTGCCTTTCTGGCCGAAGCCACGGCCACTTGGTCACCCGCCGTAGAATTAGTCTTGGAGGCTGTTATGGCGTCGATGATGGTCGTATGGCCAGGCGCGCTGTTCGTAAGCGAACTCTTGGGCTTGTAGCGGGAGTCTAGCATGGCCTGCATGTCGCATCGGGCTGCCACAGTTGCAAGATTCATTTCTTGCAGCATCGCCTTACGTGCTTCAACTGTGGCCGTCCGTTGTGCTATATAAGCTGATATATCGACTGTTGACTGGGGGTATAAAAAGATATGGAAGAATATCTTTATAATTTCGCATGAAGTTGAGTATAATTAACTAGCATACAATGAGGATCAAGATAGACCTGAGGAATAAATAAACTACTAGCTACAATTCAAAGCAATAAATGAGGAAGGACAAATAATAAAATTCCATCAAAATAAATATAACTTGCCTATACTAAAATAGATTGGCAAAGGAGAGCAGAAAAAATGACATGAAAATTATCAAGGATACTATGGCAGAGGACTTTAGACAAAATGGATTTATCTAGGTCGTCCTGGCAATACAACAAAGTTGCGAAAAAGAGGTCAACCCGCAACTATTTTACAGGCCATAGCATCTTTGTCATCACACCTACTGACATCTATGAACAACTGGATCTTGACGCAAAAACCCAAAAAATGCAGCATATTACGTTTTAGAAGTCTATTCTTATTATAGTGAACTAGTACAGATTAGTTTAATTTGAATATACTTAAGAAAAACTTATATGCAATGTTTCTATCTGGTCGGTGACTGAGCTCATTCTCCAATATCTTACCAGCGTTCAATGTGATATATTTAACGAGGAAGGTAATCTCTTTTTTGGCTTTGAAGAGTCGAGAGGCCTGATGTACCTGCTTTTTTGGAAGAAGAAATACTAGAAGCCTACGGTAAGATGTTCAGGCCCCAGAGAAAATATAAATGTGAATGGATACAATGATGCCTAAAAAAAGGACGGATGAAAATGGGCCTGGTTACATCGGAGGAAATGAAGTAAAAGTAGAATAGGAATGGAGTCAAAAGGGATTATGAAATCGTCTACTATGAAATCGTCCCATAAAATTGACCAAGTTGACGAAATAGGATCAACTACTCAATTACGACTAAAATTTTAATGCAATTTGTTAGAATTGTTGGCGATGTAATAGTAAACACAGAGCTGTCAAAAGCCTGCAGCAAGCAAATGTTGGTGCTCGTGTTCGCGGAAAGACTTTGAAGAAAGTACCTTGATTTGTATCACTGTGTTATTCCAGGCATCGTCAGTGAG